CCGCATTCTGTGCCCCGGCGCTCCGCGGCCACGCCCGCCCCGCCCCGGCCGAGACAAAGGCCGCGCGCGGGTCGACTCGCTCCCCGGCTTTGTTCCGCGGCCCGCGGCTCCGCTCTGCGCTCCGACTCCGAGGCTCTGCGGCTCCGAGGCGCCGGGGACGCGGGGGCGCGGCCACAGCCGGGCGGGGCGAGGGCGGGGTCCCTCATCTGGTGGCCCCGCCTCGCAACCAGGCCCCGCCCCGGCTCCCCCACTTCCTGCCCCAAGCCTCCCGCCAAAGTTGGGGGGCGGAGCCGAAGCGCAGGCCGGCGGGCTGGCGGGCAGTCAGGCGGGCGGGGACCCTTCAACCCCGGAGCTCGCCGGATCGGGGCGCCCTTCGTCGCAACGCGAGTCGCTGCCCCTGGCCCCCCCCACGACACCGGACCTCAGGCGAGGCCGGGATCACGCAGGGCGCCTCGACTGGCCCTTCCGGAAGGACAGACCGGGAAGGCGAGGGCCACACGGGGTAATTCGAGACCAGCGACATGTGGTCCATTTCTCCCTGGATCCCCTTCCTGTCCTCGGCGCTGTCCAGGACAAGCGGGACTCCTCCAGGCCGGATTCCCTAGTCCTGGTTGGCAGAGCTGGGTCAGAGGCAGAATTTGCCATCTGACTCACTGGGAGAGAGACAGAGACCCCACGCTCAGCACAGAAGAACAAGGACTGTCCTGGGGTTAGGGTTAGGGTTAGGGTTAGGGTTAGGCGGCATGCCACCCTGGGAGGGCTGCACCAGACATAAGCAGCAGCTTCTGTGACTGACGTTAGTTACACCGTCCTGGCTCCGGGTCCAGCGCATTCACTCTGATGTCTCCAGCAGAGGCAGGTCCCAGCCCTTCTCCCAAGGAGGCTCCGTTAGAGGGCGGGTGACTAGGTTACGCCCTGGGCCTGTTCATGGGGTCACACCGGACCCTCCGCCCTTGCCTGTGCGCGCGGGCATCCGACAGGGTGGTAGCCCATCCTTGCTGCAAGCCCCTGGAGAGTCTCCTGCCAGGCATCCAGGGGCGGCCTCTGCGGAGGCGGTGCCCCTTTGTGCACCTAAGCGGAAGGAGGGGACCAGTCCAGGACCTAGGCCATGGAGGGTCCAGATGAGGCTGGCCGGGTCCGCCCAAGTGAACCGTGGGACATCTTTGTGAACGGATAGAGAAGGACCTACCTCCGGGAAGGGGTTGAGCAGAATCCCCACTCTGCAGAGAAATGAGGCTGTGGGCACACACGCGCAAGAGCAATAGCGAGCTCCAGCCCCAGATTAACCTGCTCAGGCTCCCAGGACGGCAACCGTGTCCCCTCCACTCCAGCGGCCTGGCCGGGCCAGGCAGCCCCCCAGCAGATGTCTCCCTCTCCAAGGCACCCTTGGCCCTCGCCGCCGGTGGCCTTCCAGGACCGCCTCCGGAACAAGGTGCCGGTGCAGGCGCTCCTCTGCTGCCCCCTGGTGGACCTCAGGGCAGAGACACCCAGGCTTGAAGGACTGCCCTGGCGTCTTAAGGTAAAATAGGAAAAAATAAAGGCCGGGAGAAAGGAGGCGAGAAAATCAGAATTTTAAAACTATCTGAAAAGCTCAACCTGTAGCTTCAGGACACAAAAATCATTCAAATCTTTCCCCATCTCGAGGACATCCCAGCCTCATGAACTTACCCAGCTTCTTTTTTGCGGAACTGGGGATTGAACTCAGGTCCTTGTGCTTGCCAGGCAAGCGCTTGTTCTACTAAGCGATATCCCCGGACCTTACCCAGCTTCTGATCATAATACTTTGCCCTCTCTCTTTCTCTCTCTATCTCTCCCCCCCCCCATTTATTTGAGCACATACTTTAAATTTCTGCCTGCTAAATCCCTTTATGTCTCTGAACATTTGTTTTCTGTAGTGCAGGAGCCAGCAAACTTAAAACTTAATTCTACAGTTAGGGTGAGTATAGGAACCTCCTGGACGATGTCCCGTGACCTGGAGAAGGCTCCCTGGTACCCAGTTCCAGCCCTGGATGGTGGGAAGGGTTCCTCACCTCCTGGGTCCCCAGAGTCCCTGGGAGGCTCCTTAGTGACACAAGTGGGAACAAATGAGCCAAGGAAGAAAGTCCACCCTGAGGGTGTGTTTGGGTATGGAGTGCGGACAAGGGAGGAAATGGGAAACAAGGCCTCCCGCTCTCCTGCTGCACCCCTGGGCTCAGCCGTGTGGAGGTGCAAAGAGAAGCGCAGATGCCCGGGACTCAGGGACTAAGTACCCAGGACGGCTGGAACTGGACGGCCCTAGGGCACATCTCCAGCCTTACCAGCCCCTGCAGGGTCATCAGAACCTGTCTTACACCTGGCTCCACCCACCCTGCCCGGCCTGGCTAGGCTCTGGCCCCGCCCACACCCGGCCCCGCCCACCAGGGCCAGGGCCTTCCCCCTTTAACTCTTCAGCAGAGACTGACCTGGCCAAGGTCACAGCCAGCAGAGGCAGGATTGAACCCAGATCTGAAAGAGGACTCCTCTTCCGCACTGCATCTGGCTGAGTGAGTTTTTGATGATGGTGCTCCAGGGGCGGCCGCACAGGGAAATCCGAGGCGTGGCCAGTCCAGCTCTGCCCTCCCATCCTCTGGAGACCGTGAGAGCTGGCTCCAGTGAGACGCAGGGCAACAGTGGGGGCTGGGTCCCAAGTGGGAACACGACCCCCCTTTGCGCTCCGTGAGCACAGGCGCTCTGGAGGCACACCCTGACCTCCTGGATGTCACCCTCACTGCCCCCCAGAGAACCACACAGCCACCCTAGCTGCTGTCCCAGCCCTGGTCTCCCCAACCAACCCAGACTCACTCGCTGCTGAACTCAGGGTCCCCGGGATGCCGAAGCTGGGATCTATCCCTCTACCCACCCATCCACGTACCTTCCTCTCTCCCTCCTTCCACTCCTTCCATCCTGCCCACCTCCCCCAACCCTCCTTCTGCCCGTCCAAGCCAGCTCCGCTTAGCCCCCCTCATCCCCCCACCCACCTATTCCTGCGCTTGTCCTCCCATGCCACCCCTCCCCCCATCTAGGAAATACTTCTTGAGCTCTGACTCCAGTCTAGAGGAAGGCGCGGCTGCTTCTACTCTTCCCGACAGGACTGGGTGAAAGAATTCATCCCACAACAAAAACCAGGAACACTTTTGTACGTTTCGCAAATTCCATTTGGAGCCACTTGCAAAACTCAGCTGTCACAGTTTCCTGGGAAACGATACGTGGAGTCACAGCGCTGGGCTGGACTGTCGGTTGGGGCCTTCACGTCTCCTCTGAAAGGGCAGACTGCTCACTTCTTGCCACAAGTGACTTCAACTTATAAATTAAGTCCAACTCCATGGCCCATGGATGGGCCCCTAAGCTGTGGTCTCTGCAGTCTTACTGGGTGTAGCGGTGCCTGGACACCTTGTGGGGATGGGGACAGCTGGAAGGTGCTGGGGGCAGCCCTGAGGGTCTCATGGAGTCAGGGCAGCCACGGCTTGGGTGCCAGGATTAAAGCCTTGCAGAAGGACGGAGCTCACTGGTGGACCATGGCACCTGCAGAGCCTTCCTACAGCACAATGAGCCCCACCATGCAGGAGATGGGGAGGCCCAGCCTGCCTGGGGGTGGCCAGGCCCTGCTCAGCTGTACCCACAGGTGACTTTGGACCCCAGAGCCACAGAGTATGCTCCTGGATGATGCAACTGTCACACGCTGGCTGCTGGGAGCTGTGGCACTTGAGGAAAGGGGAAGCAGCACCCCACGACGTAGGGAGCGGTCCAGGGCCCAGGCAGAGCCTTGCTGTGAGTCTGACCTGCCCTGATAAATGCCCAGTTCTACCCTTCAGCACGAGCCTTGCTGGGTCTCCCCAGCCATGCCACCTCAGGGGGCAACAGGTGTTCCAGCCAGGCATTGTGCCAGCCCCTCCTGCAAGGCCACCCAACAAGTGCTCCAAACCTTGCAACACTTCTGTCACCCCGAAAGAGACCTCAGAGCCCTTCACACTCATCACCACTCCACCCACTCTGGCCCTGGCGACTGCTAATGTGCTTTCTGCCTCCGTCAGTGCACCTGTCCGGGACAGTTGCGGGCACACAGATGTGCCGGGTGTGACCTTTCCTGTCCTGCTTCCTGCCCCAGCGCAGTGCCCAGGTCTGCTCCCATCTGCCACGTACAAGGAAGCAGGTCATTCCTCTCCGTGGCTCACCAGTAATCCGTTGTGAGTGGAGTCAACTTCAACAACATGCTGCTTAATCCAGTGCACCTGATTTTTTTTTTCTTTTTGAGACAGGGGCTCACTGTACTGCTCAGGCTGGCCTTGGGCTCACTTAATAACTCAGGCTGACCTCGAACTCCCAATGATCTTCCTGCCTCAGCACTCCCAAGTGCTGGGATCACAGGCATGCACCACAGCGCCCAGCTCTGCATCTGAAAGATTATCATTCCAGTGTGTAATCAACTTGTTAAAGAGATGTGTATACACTCTTTCATGAGGTTTTTTAAATCTTATTTTATTTTTGATACAGGGTCTCACTACACAGTTCAGACTTGTAGTGATCCTTCTGTCTCAGCCTCCCCAGTGCTGGGATTACAGGCGTGCACCACCACACCCAGCAAGGCATGCAGCACCAGGGATGCAACTCCAGACCTTGCACTTGTCAGGCAGACGCTTAGGCCCTGAGGTATCGCCCCAGCCCACACAAGGGTTTTATAGTTCAGCACATTTCAGTTTCAGCCCTAAATGTCTGTTCAAAGCATTTGATCTC